ACAAAAGAAGGCCGACCAAATATATATATATATATATATATATATATTCAAATCCAACAGATTCAAAAGGTATCTTTCCAATAAACCACTAAAAAAGTAGTAATAATAAACAAGTGGAAAGTTTTTTTTTGTTTTTTTAAATAAATAAACAAGTGGAAAGTGGGACATTTTTCCTTTCCATTTTTTTTAAAGCATGGTTTACTATGCCTTTAGGATATTATATTATTACAATAATATATAACAAAGTACAAGTTAGGCAGAAAATGGCGACATTCAGGAAAATTACGTGTTGGAATAAAATGCAAAAAGAAAAAAAAAGGACCTGAAATAAGTCCTCCATTTAAGTAGAGTAATTGATGTTCCTACTTCCTAGTGCGTTAAAAATTTAAAGTTAATAAAAAATATGGATAAAAATGTAGCCACCCATATTTTTCTCTGTCTTTTATTTTTCTTTTCACCAAAAACTATCTTATATGTATGGATTAAACGTCCACATTAATTTTTTTTTCAGATTCATGTAATTTTAGTTTAGTTTTAATATGATTTGTATAATTTGAATTTAGTTTTCAGTTCACTTCATAATTTTAAAAGTTTATATTTAGTTACCTTAACAAATTCTAAAGAGATAAACTTGAACTTACGTAAGTGTTACAATCTATAATGTATGATCATCTAAGTTCACGTAGTTAACTTATAATGGATGAAGGGAAGATTCAATTCTTGAAGTCCTATAATCTTCGATTCTTCAAAATCTTCAATTCTGGTCGGATCTGGGTGCTTTTGCTTGACTATGAATAAATGATTATAGACAATTTTGAATAGGAGATGGCTCGCATGTACCTCGACCAAGCCAATAAACCACGTAGAAAATTAATTATTAAGTAGGTGACCATCATGAAATTTGAACTTATTTCCTTCCCGATCTTTTGATTTACCTTGCTCCTTTGAACCAAGTCACCCGTAAATAAATAAAAAAAATAAAGATAAATATCAAATTTTTTTTTTTAAGTACATGGATTATATTATGATAAAAGTATAATAAATACGATAGTATATTTATAAATAGCTAGGCTAACTTAACATATCAAACTTTTCCTAATATTTTAGGTAATTCTCAAATTTAGTTTTTTATCTTTTAAATTTATCATTATTATCCCTAGCGTATTAAAAATGCTCTCGTTCCAGAAAAAAGTGTTGCGATTTATTAACCATTCAAGTTATTGTTTCCGCGACATGTAGGCATGTTTAGAAAAACTGATTTTATTAATAGGTAGGTTGAATTTGACTATTTGACAAATTAAGTTATTATTCTATTGAATTAAATGACATATTCACGCATTCGCATAGGTCGACAAGAGCTATAATTTTCTTTTATAATAATACTTAATTTATACATATTGATGCAGGATTCTACTAAGCTACCGAAGATCGATCACGTGACAATGTAGTCGAGTTGGCAAGGTACGACCTTAAACAAATAGGGCATGCAAAAGGAACACACTCTGACTCTCAAGTTAGAAGAGGCACGAGCTACAATAGATTTTATTATCAAAGCATAATTCCGTAACTGAGTGAAGAGGTGGATTGTCCCTTTTAGAGGCGATGGGGGAGGGGGGACAAGGCCATTAGACTCACTCCGATTGACGGTTATGCTTGTCGGGCCCCCAAGTCAGTTGTTGAGCCTGAAGACGGAATCCTTAGAACCAAATTATTGGGTCACGTTGTATTTTTTCCTCCAACAATACAAAAGGACATAATTGAGATTTTTAATGCAAGGTAAGATATTTAGAATTGAAAAAAGTTAAAGGACCCATGCGGTGTTTTCAGCCTTGAAATGGTAATCTTCCATGAATTCATGGATAATAGAAATATAATTTGGAACTTTATAAAGACCCAGTTACATAAAAGTCTGTGCATGAGAGTTAAGATCTCCTGCAGCCGAGCTCAGATGAAACCTTTAAAACTACGGTGCCAAGTCAGCATCCCGACGTCCAACTGATGGCCGCTTGTCTCACATGCAAATCATTTGTCGTTAATGAATTGGGGCCTTTTCGCAAATCTCACAAGTACATGGGCCGCAGTGGAAACGAAAAGTTAAGAACATTACGTGGCGCATTGTGATTGGTTTGAACTTCTAGAACTGAAAATTCAGCTCATTTTCCACAGCGATTCGTCCACATCCGAATTCCGCCTCCGTCTTCCTCCTCCCGCCCCCTGCTTCCTCTTCAGCCGCCATTGCCGACCACCTCTCTCTCTCTCTTGCAAGCTATTTGTAAACTTTCCACTTACTTTTTGCATCTGTTCTTCACTGTAAAGACTTTGTGGGTAGCGTCCTTTTGCTTTACTTTCTTCGATCACCGCACGCCCCTCATCATCCATTCGCTATCTCGACTTTTCGTTTGGCTTTTTTCAATCCCGATTACTTATTATGGAGTTTCAATTCGCTTTCTCTGCTACTTAGCTGGACGAGCTCGGGTATGGTTGGATGGGACTGGGACTGGGACTGGGACCAGTTTGTTTCTTACTCCTTGTATTTCGGTCTTCAGTAATCAGTGGTGGATTTTGGATGGGTGGAATAAAATATTGAATTGGATTCTCTTATACTCTTGTTTCTTCTCGCTTCGTTGCTTGCTGACCAAGTTTCGATCTCTTGATTAATCAATTGGTTAGTGGGATTACTTTTCCTTTTTTCTTCTTCTTTTTATTGACTTCTTGTTACTATGATTACCATGAGTTAGTTTTCTTATATTGTCTACAATCTTGCTCCCCAGCTGAACTGGTGAAGCGGGATTCTTCTAAATTCATGTTGGATTTTTGTTCTTAGACTTTGGGCATAAGCATTTCTCTGGAAACTTGGCAGGTAGACAGCAAGTTTAAGTTGGTGTTCTGTACTATTTAAACATGGCTCAACGAAGGGGGTCGGATCAACAACCGAGTAAGAAGATTATGCGAGCCCAGACACTTGGGAATTTGGCAGAGTCGATGATGGACAGTGAGGTGGTTCCATCTTCACTCGATGAGATTGCTCCAATTCTTCGTGTTGCTAATGAAGTCGAGGCGAGCAACCCTAGGGTTGCGTATCTATGTAAGTTGCAGTAACTTTTCATGGAAATTTGGTATGCTGTGAAGTACTTTCCTT